CCTGTCATCGGGGCGCATAGAAATGGGCAGCCTCCCACTAATTACAACAATCTATTAATTAAATAAGATCAAGGCGTGGCAGGAGAGCAAGCAGACGGTTGGCCCATTACAGGAGGGCGGAGCCATACCCAGAGAGGCTCCAATAGTGGCACTCCTGTCACAGGCGCACACACCCTTGCCACGCTTGCCTGGGAATGCACACAGCGGTGGGAGCTTCCCCCCACCCCATGCCCCAGCAAATATGCAGCTTGCTGCTCTGTCCTGCGCCTTGCCCTGGCTGGGGAGAGCCTGTTGGCACCCCTTCACTTCAGTGCCTGGGGTGGTTGCCCCACTTGCCCCTCCCTTGCTACAGTACTGCAAAAATGTATCCACTTGAATCCTTTGTTTGTTCTGTAACTTTTTTGACAGGACACAAATTACCCAATAAAACTGTCCTATCAAGAAAATGATCAATAGCCCCTCTTAGCAGCAAAATTCTAAAAACCAATTTAGTGAAACAGGCAAAAATTTGTCTGATGTTAACGAAAGTTCAAAACAGTTACAGAAAATTTGAAGTGGAATTTTTAGGACTACTTCAGCCTTATGCAATTAGTATGGGAAGAGTCTGCCATTAAAGACTGTCATTTTAATATTCTCCTGAGAGTTACTAAAACCAAAGACAGAAATTTTCAGTAATTGGTACCAAAAGGAGGAAAGCAACTTCCATGAATCCTCTGAGAGACAAAGCTTTATGAAAATGCAAGCTGTCATTTCAAATCTTCATCTGATCTTTTGGTATGCCATTTCTAAAGGCTAAATAAAGATGGAACTTATTGGCACAAAACAAATGGAAAGCTAAGGTGATAGCCTTGGTTGTAGCCAAGGCCAATTTTAAATCTACTAAAGACAGAGGACCTTCTTAAATAAGCAATAAAGAGACCAGAGACAGGGGCTGTGTCTACACAAGACGCTCGTTGTGGCATGAAGCTTGATGCAGTGCTACTGCGCAGCAGTAATAAGCTACTGCATAGTCACTGCAGTTACTGAGCAGTCATTTAGTACTCGTGTATGCAAGCACTAAATTATTGTGCAGTTGTTACTGCACACTGTGTCTCATGTAGACACAGCCAGGGATTATCTTCTCTTCAGATCTTGTAGCATTTTCTTGCCCAAATGTTAACTTTGTATTGATCAAAGAAACAGGTACTTTCTATGCTCCTACATGCCAGAGACAAGTTCAGAATGCATGATGGTTTTGACCTGTCTTCAGAATTTAAATCTGAGATCATACTGTCAAATGTATAGCACAACTCTGATAATGTAAGAGTGATTTTGTAGCTGGGACAGTCCAGAAATTATGCCAAAGGCAAGGATTTCTTAGGGCGGTATCTTTTACTGGACCAGCTGCATAACTGCGATGGATATAGACAAGCTTTTGAATGCATTATAACTCTTTCCCAACTATACAGTTTTGTCCAATAAAAGATATCACCATAAGAAATCCCTGATTCCCAGTAAAACTCTAGGAAAAGTCAGTACCAATTATACTTAGATAAGTCATCATAGAAGAGTTCAATAAAAAGGCCTTCTACAGAGAAAAATTAAAAGGAGTACTCTGCATCTTTTGGCACAAACCTCAAGTGAAAAGCATCCCTTCAAGTCAATGCATTTCAGGACTCTGAAAAGATGCCCTGTAAAAATGCATATAATCAGGAACCAAAATTAAAATTGGAGCTACATGTTCCAGCAAACTACAGCTTTGCTTTACTAGCAGGGGACAGCAGGGCAGGCCCTGTGAGGAGAGGCTATGGGACCTGAACCTGTTCAGCCTCCAAAAGAGAAGGCTGAGGGGGGATCTTGTGGCCTGTTATAAACTAGTCAGGGGGGATCAGCAGGGATTGGGGGAGTCACTGTTCCCCCGAGCACCGCCAGGAGTGACCAGGAATAACGGTCACAAGCTGGCAGAGGGTAGGTTTAGGTTGGACATCAGGAGGCGATATTTCACGGTCAGGGCGGCTAGGGTCTGGAACCAACTTCCAAGAGAGGTGGTGCAGGCTCCTACCCTGGGGGTTTTTAAGAGGAGGTTAGATGAACACCTTGCTGGGGTCGTTTGACCCCAGTACTCTTTCCTGCCATGGCAGGGGGTCGGACTAGATGATCTGCTCAGGTCCCTTCTGACCCTAGAAACTATGAAACTATAAGAAACCAACTGACCCAAGATAATTTATATCTCTAATCTCTGAAATATTATTTGATAGGATTGAGCAGATTAAGAGTTATGTTTGCTGTGCCTTTGAAGAAATAAATTGTCAGAGATAAGAATGATGTTTCTCCTACAAACAGTAATTCAATGTCACAGACTTAGCTCTTTGGTTGGTTTCAGAATTCCACAACCAAGAATGTCTGTAATGAAAAATAATCATAACTAAGCATCCAGCCAGAGGCCCTTGAGGAATATCTGACCTTCCCTATAGCAGCTAAAGGAAACTTTAACTTTTTATTTATTGGACTATACCTCAGGTGATACTGCGTGCAGAAGGAGTAACAACATGGCTTCTAATAAGTAGCTGTTCTAAAGATGAAGGCCATGAAGGAATTTGTCTTTCCAGATTGGTCCTTATAGAGACTACCAGCACAGTCAACAAGTCCAGGTTGGGGATGCCTAGTGAAAATTATAAAATCAGAAGTTATAAAACCAGAATCTATTCTTTATCTTGTGTGTCCATCTTCAAACCCTTGTCCCTGTTAGGTTTGAGGAAAAACTTGGAGAGAGCAGATCATCTACAGGTCACCCCTATAGTAGTGTACTATGGGTCATCCCTGGGGTGGGGTGCACACCTTGAGCTGCAGCCCAGCTGTTGGCAGACAGAAACTGATTGTAAGCCTGTCTTGAAGGACTGAGCCAGCTGTGAAGCATAATTAGCTGGCAGGCTCCACAGGAGTTAAGAGGCTCCCAGAGCCAGAGGGGAAGGGGAGAAATGAAGCTGAGAGCCAGGGCCAGACACAGGCATGGGCAAACCAGGTGGCTGCCCAGGGCCCAGACAGAAAGGGGGCTTGAAAAGCGTAATTTTTTTCTGTTGTCCCATTATTATTATCAATATCTCTGGTGAAGGAGGGCCCAACACTAAAAGTTTGCCCAGGGCTTCCAGAAGTCTAGATATGCTGCTGCTGAGAGCTGAGGGGGCTGAGTGACACTGAGATACTGGAAGTTGACCAAGAAACTGGGTGCTGGAATGGAACTGATAGAGAAGGAAGAGAAGAGGCAAGCTGTGGCATATCCAAGGCTAGAGTTTCTCTTTGGGTCTGGGTTCATATGTTTGTTTTACTAATTGTTTGGGTTAATTCCTGCAGGGAGGGAGTTTGCCCCACAGGGACAATAGACAAAGAAGATAAACAAACACTGAGAGACAATTTTGAGCTAAGCAGATCCTCAACCCTCTACAATCCCTTACTTCCAAAGTATGGAGTATCTTCAGATTTGATATGGAGGGCTCTCCAAAGACTGTTCCCTTTCTAAGACAGGCTTAAACAAACAGATAGTTCTGAAAGCTATGTGGACAAAGGATCTGAATTCCTTGAACCTGAAGAGGCTCTGTTATCCTCAAATTCATGAGATATGACAAAGACTTTAGACACCTTGGACTATCCATTGCTCTCAGCCTCACAGTATCTGGTATAATCTCTGATTCAAAAGAAATCCTCAGACTCAGAGGATCTGGGGGAAAAAAATCTAAGTGCTTTGGTCCTAGGAAGTTCCATCGATTCTGGATCCACAGAATCCAACTAATATCTACAATTCAGAAAATTCCAGTAACCCTCTGACTAATTCTCGTCCAATTTTGAGGTCTTGTTTAGTGCCTATACCAACCTGCTGACACTACACTATTCCAGCTTTCAGCTCCTTGATATGATGGTGTGGACAAAATACAGAGGAATGGCCCAGGCATGTGCTTCAGCTTCTTGAACAGTCATTGAAAGACCATTGCAAATATTATACAAGGTTTGCTACTACTCTAGATTGTCCCAGGAGTTGGAGGGGCCCTGAGCTGGCTGCCGAAGCAAGAAGATATAAAAATTGCTTTAAATCGCTTTTCTACTTTGGCAAGACCCAAGAAGTGGGCCCATAGAACATAACAAAAGATACAACTTCCTTAGATTTAAGCAAATCCTGTCACTGTTGGATCCATAATGGTAGAAAACAATTGAAACCAAACTTTGACCAGAATCTTTACCAGATCCTGAGAACTAATACATATTACTAAATACTTATATATGGCTTATGAAAGAAGGAGCAGATAAAAATCACCCAAGCACCTGGCTGAAACTGTGGAGTAAGGGGTGTCAAATATATAGATACAGCCCACAGAGCTTCTCAAACCATCCCACTGCACTACAGGTAGGCACCGGAAGTTGGTGGGTGTGGCCTGTCACAGAATCCAGGGTCCTTTGGCTCTGCTGGGCATGGCTGTCAGCAGCAAGCTTGGCTCTCTACCGCCACCCTTGGACTTGCTCCAGCCCCACCACTGCTGCCATTATGGCAGTCCTCCTGCCTCTGGCTGGAGCCCTCAGAACATGTCCAGCCTGAGGCTGACAGCTGTATCTTAGAGGACCTGGCTGCTCTATTTATGGAAAAGGGATACAAAGTCTTGTTATCCTGGTGGAGGCATTAATTTTTACTATAGGAAGGCTACGGCCTAAAGAGTCTCCCAGTGCCAAATGACTGAAACCTTCACTACTCTCCTCTTGTCATAATCAGCTGCTTTGAAATAGGTTCCCATGAGGATTGACATGGATTTCAGCTTTGCAGTGGGGCCTCGTAAAGTCAAATCACATTGTAGAATAAATGAATATTCCAGTTATATATTACAACATTCTGGTTACAGATATAAAATCTATTTGTATGCCATAAATATGAAGTCCCTGGCCTCAAAAATAGACATTGGGTGAGATTTTGGCCTATACAGTAAATAAAAATGAGTATCTGCAGTTTAAAAAAATGAGACTGAGAAAGAGAGAATTACCTGGCAAGGTTTTTTCATTTTAATTGATATAACATGGTATCTGTAACAGCACAGCTCACAGGTCCATGACCCTCTTTCACTTATCCACTTTAGTAAGCAAAGTTGATGTGTGTACCGTACTGAGCCATCACAGCGGCAGGGATTTAACAGTTCTCCCTGAAAAGAGAGCAAGTTCAACTAAATTGCACAGGGACCTTTTGTCTTTTCTGCAAGTGTGTCATTTCCAACTGTGGAACAACAAGTTAGTTTCCAAGTCACTATCCTCCAACATCATCACCATCATCATCATCATAAATAAATAAAGAGCTGCTGTTAAAATAGCTGTATTTAGCATTAAATAAACCATGATGATTAAAAAAATTGGATGCATTTACTGTGTGCCAGTGCCTGCCCCCATCCCACCCCTGAACTGTCTAATAACTTGCAAGCAGATGGAGAGGTGTTTTCCCTCTGCAGTGATGCTTAACAGAGCTCTCCTCTCATCCTGCAGCCTACTCTCTGCCCTGGGGGAAATCCTGAAACTTTTGTGGGGGGATCTGTGGCTCAAGGGCTGGATTCTTAAGTCACAGAATCACAGAAAATGAGGGTTAGGAGGGACCTCAGGAGGTCACATCTAGTCCAACCAACTGCTCAAAGCAAGACCCTCCCCAACTAGTTCATCCCAGCCAAAGTTTTGTCTAGCTGGGTCTTAAAAACCTCCAAGGATGGAGATACCACCACCTCTCTGGGTCCCCTGTTCTGGTGCTTCCCCTCTCCTCCTGAGAGAGTTTTTCCCCATATCCAACCTAAACTTCCCTGGCTGCAACTTGAGACCATTGCTCCTCCTTCTGTCATCTGCCACCACGAAGGAAGTCCCCCAACCATGACGGGGATTGCCCTGGTTTTGGATTGGAGCTGAGAGAGAAACACACACAAGGGCAGCCAGGGTCTGGCTTTTGGACACCCAGGGTGGTCAAACCCTGCCCTTGGCAGCAGCATGTAGTTTCTCCACTCTCAGGAAAGCCAAACATGCTCTTTCTTCAAGGCACCAGAACTGGTGGCAGAGGTGATCTCTTTTATTGGACCCACTAGAAATACAAGTCGGTCTAATAAATACGATTATGAGTTGGTCTAATAAAAGACATCTAGTGTGTCTAACAAAAGCGATCGCTGCTGCCACCAGTTCTGATGTCTTTTGCATCGAGACAGAGTCGGCTGCAGTCTGGATACCCCGTCCTCAAGGACACCCGGGTGCCAGGGCTGGGGGCAGTGGTGGGGCTCGCGGGAGAGTGACACAGAGGGAGAGGTTCGGCCCAGGGCTTGGGGGCCCCTTCCTCCCTTGCTTTCATCATGGTCGCGGTACGGGGCTCTGCTCAGGTCTGGGGGGTGGTGCCCAGCAGCCGGGGTCGCTGAACCTCCTGGGGCCGCGGGGCAGAGAGGGGACCCAGGCGCCCGGACTGCCCTTCGCCAGCGCTGCGGCGGCGGCGGGACCTGTCCGTGGTGCTGATCCCGTCCGTCTCAGCGCGGCCCGGCCCGGCCCGGCCCGGCCCGGCCCGGCCCGTGGCGGGTCCCGCTTG